AGACACGTACCTAGCTCCGGTCAGGGTTCGTGAGGAGAAAGAGGAACCCAACCAGGAGCTAGATGACTAATGTGATGACCTGTCTAAACCCATGTGTATGTATCCTTACATCCCTCCCCTTCTAAAAAAAAGAATTGCCTTAATCCAACCAAAAACCAAAAAAAAATAAAGAAACCAAAGAAAAGAAAAAAAAAATCCTCCATTGAATCCATAATAATTGAGAAAGAAAGAGAAGAAGAGAAAAAAAGGAAAAAATTGGCATAACTTGCCCCTAAAAATTTGTTATAGCAAGAAATTTGAAAAAGAAAAGCTAAAAAAGATAAAAAGTCATAAAAAAAAGAAACAGAACTAATGGTAACCTTGAGCGTGAGAGTCATGAGTTGAAGTGAATAATATAATGAATCTTGATGTCTTGATCTTGTCGTTGTCAACTTCGTGTTTGAGGTACTGCAATAAAACACAAAAAGTCCATGCAATGCTCACAAAGTGGCCAAGGTGTTGTTTGATTGAATTGATACGAGAGAGGAGGTGGGGCGTAGTTGCTTCGGTGGTGCATACTAAGTGGTGGGAACTTACTTTTGTACTCCTATTGCTCGCAAAACCCCTTCCCCCTCCTGATCGTCACATCTGTACTTCTTCAATTTTGAGATGTGGAAAACTGGATGAGAGTTGTCGTTGCCGTTCAGTTTGAGTTCAAAGTTCCGACCGTCGTTCACACATTTGATGACTTGGTAAGGTCCATCATACCTAGGTCGCAACTTGCTGGTCGGTCTGCCTTGCCCTCCAACAATTTGTTGGCGATCTTTACTATCTACGAGTACCCAATCACCTTCTTTTAATTGTTCACCCGGTCGTCTGCGATTATTGTAATACGTTGCTTGGTCTATTCGACTCGTCCACAACTTGTCTCGGAAGTCTGCCCATGCTGATTGGAGTTTAGCTATCCACTCCTGGACTTCCGGTACCGAGTTAGGGAGGATGGTGGTTGGAAAGAGTCGAGGCTTTTTTCCGTACACGTATTCAAAGGGCGAAACTCCTGTTGCGACATTAACCGCAGAGTTGATGGCGTATTCTACCGACGGTAGGCAGTCAAACCATTTACCGTGGTGTTGTTCCACCAGAGGTCGAAGAATCTGAACGATTGTTTTGTTTGATTTTTCGCTCCTTCCATCGCTTTGTGGGTGATAGGCAGTTGTCAGATTTACTTTGATGTGCAATAATCGATTGAGCTCTTGCCAGAAGTTTGATGTCCACAGTTTATCCCTGTCTCCAATCATACTTCTTGGTGCTCCAAAAATTGATAGCCACGATCCAAACACCCGTTGAGCAGTCTTTGCGGCAGTGTCTGTTTGGCACGTTGGGATCGCTCGTACAAATCCGGTTAATCGGCACGTTATCGATAAGATCATGTCGTATCCTCGGGCTTTTGGGAATGGTCCTATGAAGTCTAGAGAGATATCCTCCATAGGTGCCCTTGGACCATCGGTTGTCTGCATTCGTCCTGAAGCTAACGACGTCCTCCCCTTCGTACGTTGGCACTTGTCGCAGTGTTGAATAAAGTGCTTCACATCTTTGGCCAAGTCAGGCCAGAAGAACTCCGTACGTAGTTGAAGTAACGTCTTTAGAACGCCAAGGTGACCTAAAGCATCATGCGTCTGTTCAATGAGTCGTCGCCGCAGGTTGCCGGTGTTGGGTATAACCAGTCGATTGTCGATGAACATCAAGCCGTCCTTAGATTCGGTGCCTTCCCGTAGTGGTAATGTTGCAGCTAAGCGGTCACAGAAGGTGTCGAGATGGTATCCTTCTTTGATTTCGGATTTCATTTCGTCATCAAATGTACTACGTACTTCACACGAAGCGACTTCTTCAGCTCGTGAGAGGGCGTTGGCTACACTGTTATCCTCCCCTTTCAGATACTTGAAGTCTGAATCAAACTGGGATAGGGTCTCTAACCACCGGGCTTGTCTTCGACTGATGTTTCTTTGAGTTAGTAAGTGCGTTAAAGAATGGTGATCTGTCATTACATTAATCTTCAACCCTAAAAGCATCATCTTCCATTTCTGAAGGGCATTCACTACCGCCAACAATTCTTGTTCGTGTACGGGATAATTTTGTTCAGCTGGCGTCATTGTACGACTTTCATAAGCAACAGGAGACGACTTATCCCATTCTGATCCCTGGAATAGTGCTGCTCCCAACCCGTGTCCGCTGGCATCGGTGAACAACCAGATTGGTTCTTCCGAATCGTAGTCTAGTGTTTTCAATACCGGCAGTGTTGTGATAATGCGTTTAATATTCTCAAAAGCGTCATCTTCAGCTGCCCCCCATTTGAAAGTCTCATTCTTTTTCTTTGTGCTCGTCAAGGGGGATAGAGTACCTACATAGTGTGATAAACCATCAATAAAATTCTTTAAAAACTGCACCGTTCCCAGAAATCGCAACAGTTGCTTTTGTGACGACGGGGTTTTCCATTTTGCTAACTTCTCCACCTTAGCTTCGTCCGGGCATATACCTTCACCACTGATTTCATAACCTAAAAAGTTAATCTTGCGCCGAAAGAGTTTACTTTTTGATGGTGAACAATACAGTCTTGCAAGTCTCAATTTTTCCAATACTTGTCTTACATGATCTTCGTGTTCTTCAATTGAATTCGAAAAAACAACAATGTCATCTATATAGACAACACAGATCCTACCAATTAAGTCTCCTAGAGCCTCCTCCACTCGCGCCTGGTGAGTTGCTGGCCCATTTGTTAGTCCCATCGGCATTACTGCCCATTCGTACAAACCAAAAGGAGTCTTGACTGCCGTAAGCGGAACGTCTTCCTCCCTCAATTTCGTCTGAAAAAAGGAGTTGATCTGATCGATTATATAGAACACTTTGCCTGTTCCTACCAGCCGCACTGCCTCATCCACGTTTGGCAAAGGTGATCGATTGACGGTGTACTTGTTTAAAGTTCTGTAATCACAGACCCAACGTGGTAATGCAGTGGGATCTTTCTTTGGTATGATCATCGATGGTGATGCATACTGGCTTGTAGAACGTCGAATCCGCCCCGCCGCAAGGTGTTGGTCAATCAGCTTCTTCCAAGACCCTAAATATTTTGTGGGATAGGCGTATTGCTTTTCATTAAAAACTACATTTGGGTCAGTTAGTATGATCTTATGACGAATTTTGGATGATTCATTTTGCCCTTTAGGCGCAATGAAATCGTCCTCATCATCATCTTCTACCGCAGGTAGCTCGTCTGGGAAGAGGTCGGAGAAATCATGAAGCATCTTTTCTTCTCTGGCTGACAGGTCCCGGGACTCTTTCACTTGTTTTAAATTCTCAATGACGCAAGCAATCATTGACTGTTTTACTTCATCTCTGAGCTTATTCATTGCATTTTCTTCCTTCAATATGGTCTTTGTCGGTACATGTTTGACAGCGCGATCGTGAAGGGAAACATCAAGGTGGTATTTTTCAAGGAAAGGGGTCCCCAAGATAACATCAAACTTATCCCCCAATGGCGCCAACTTGAAAAAGGTTGAACCAAAACGAAGTGCAGGTTCATGAGCTGCCACGTTTGCGAAACAAAATTCTTTGAAGAAGAATGATTTACCATCACCTCCATCAATTGCTAGCTTTGCCTCGATTGGTGCAACCAGTGGCCGCCGTGGAATTTGTGCCAGTTTGTTCAGCCGATCCGACATTAAGTTGGTTTCTGCGGCTGAGTCGATTAAAGCCCGAATCAAAAGACCATTAATTTTCATTTTGAGGATGAGAGACTTTGTCCGAGACGAAGGAAAGTTGGCGCACCTTTCCTCTTCCTTGTCTTCAGCCAAATGAGCAACTAGGACGCGATCCGCCTCTTCATATCGAGTGATGTCTTGAGAAAAGAGATCTGAGTGATTATCGTCACGTTCTCCATGTTGCACGCTCGCAATGATTGAGGCTGGTGGGGGTGGTCTTCCTGCTGGTTTGGCAGTCGGCGCTCCAGGAGCCCTCGTAGATGCATTAGATGTCGGTCGGATCCATGGATTGATCCCAGTTTCGTGACGAGCTCGTGGACGAGGTCCTGGATTGAAAGTGTCCGGTACAGTCACAAACGGTCCCTTCGCTGGGCCGCGACATTGAGCATTCCCACACTTTGTGCGACAGTATCCACACAGTCCTACTTGTCTCATATACAAATGATAACGCCAAGCTGAATCGGCCCGTTGTTCTACCGTTCGTGTCTCGGTTGTTGAGGTGTTCATTGGGTAAGCAGGACGATTGACAGTTTGATGGTTGTCTTCAATAGCGTTCTGACGTGGTCGCCCTCTTGGTACCAGGTTGCTTGATTGAAGCAAATCCCAGACGTTGCTTGCGAGCGATATGAACGGCAGGATTTTGAACGGTGTTGCTTGAAGCAGGCCTCGATCTTTGATCCATCGCTGAAACACTTCTGGCGCCCCCCATACGATATATTCAGCCAGGTTACGAGCCGAAAGAGACGTTTGTACTTGTACGATGTTGTACAAGTCGCGCGCGCGTCCTACGTAAGTCTTGAAATCTTCGTTCATCCCCATCTTGAGCTGACGAATCTTCCATTCCGTGTCCTCTAGCCATCCGGTAGGTAAAGTCTCGACAGCCAGTTCATTCATCGCTTCATCCCAAGTCAACTCGTGTAAATCTGATGCTGAATTAACAAACCAGGCACCGGCTCGTGGTTTGACAAGTAAGGATCCTAAGATGATCAATTGTTGCTTATTGTCAACAAGATTCTTCAGGGTAAAGTACTGTTCCACGAGTCGTCGCCAGTTAAACAATGCCGCTGGGTTCTCTGAGGGCCCCGTGAATTTTGGGACCTCTGAGATTTTGATCTCGCTCGCGAGCGTCAATCTTGCTGTCTGAAGGGCAGTCGGAGCTGTCAAAGGCGGCTCTTGATCGATGGTGTTCGATCGGTCCACTCGTGGTAAGGGTTCCTCCGTCATATAGACAGGTATGGTGCGTCCAGAAGGTAAGTGCTCTTCAGTTCAAGTGAGTTCCAAGGTGGGGGGTCTGGTTTGAGTTGGCGGTACTTCCTGAGTTTGGAATTGACCTGCTCGAGGCCCAGAGGGAGTCGGAGTTGCTAAGTTGTTCCCACCACCTGGGTTGATCCCAAACGGGTTCTGAGATCCGCCACTGTTGCCTAAGGTGGGTGAAAAATTTGATAACATCTGAGACAGCGTTGTTTCGAGAGTGTCCAATCGTCGTCGGTCAGCAGCAGCCGTTTCTGCCTTCTGTTCCAACGTGGCGTTTTCCTGCTCCAACTGTTTCATTCTCGCATGCAGGGCTTCAATGATATCGTCCTTCGATTGGACTCCATCCTCTTTGCTCTTCCCCTTGACCGTCGCGGTATCGGACGATTCAGAGGCTGGCATTGTTGAGAAAACAAATCCGCCAGGTGCAATAGGGGTATTTTGAAAGGCAGTCTCAAAGTGATTGCGTACTATCTTGACATCAGGAGTGGTTATGGAGTCGTTTGTATTGGTTAGCGAATGAGATGATGACGGAAAGATAGTACGAAGAGTTTTATCCGGTGTCACAGGATCGTCTTTGGTAGGCTTCCAGTTGTATCGAGGAGGAGGAGGAGCCGCCGGTGATTCAATGAGGTCAGCAGATCGAGTTCGATGGAGCAAGGTTTCGGGGTTAATACAGAAGTTCGATGGGAGATTGAATGGCATAGAGTTGTCGATTGGCAAGTTTGGCAAGTATTGAGTTGTCAAGTGGTCGAAAGATTTTCAAGAAGAGAAAAAAGGAAACAAGTAATAGATAAAAAAAGTGTAAGGTTCAGACTAAAGGAACCTTCACTGGGGACTTGGCACTATCTCACAGTGGTTCAGAACCACGGAAAGCTATCTAGAACTCGGGATTGATTTCCTGTTCAATAGCTAGCTCCGGTCAGGGTTCGTGAGAGAAACCCAACAATCAGAAAACAATCACAAAAGAGAAAAGAAACAAATAGAGAAAGAAATGATGTAGACACGTACCTAGCTCCGGTCAGGGTTCGTGAGGAGAAAGAGGAACCCAACCAGGAGCTAGATGACTAATGTGATGACCTGTCTAAACCCATGTGTATGTATCCTTACAGTTGGCACTTCTGAGTTTTTTTCTTTAGTGTGAGTGGTTAAAAAATTCCTTTTTTGAGATTTTCTATTGTTGGTATCTGTTTTTCTGAATATCTACCGTCTATTCTCACACAAGACTTGTGGCAGGTTTCTTAGGAGGCTATTAGGCAATTTCTGTTTCTTTTCCTTTCTTAATTTAAAGGAAAGAAAGAATTGGTTTGGTTCTGGTTATCATTTCATGGGATATTATTGGGTTTTCAGTTACTGAGACTCTTTCTGGGATTCTTTTCTATAAAAAATTGTTTTCTATTCCTCCCTGCTTCGCCATTTATCAGACTACGCTCTTTTTCACAGGCGGCATTTCCGTAAGTGCCATGATGAGACTTCATCAACATAATATAAATGAGGCCCATCCACAGATTTCCAAGGATTTCAGAAGACCCTGCAGATCAGCGGGAAACTGATGCGAGTCAGCTTGACCCAAGCCCCCCCGGGATGATCTTCCCCGTCGGTCTCGGACAAGAGACTTGATGGAGTTAGTTGATGCAATGGACACCAAGCTGCATCACGAGATGATTGAGCTTATTGAGCTTGTGAAGTGGAACAATAAACTTCCGCGAAGAGGTTAAAAGCCTATATGCGAGGAATGTGGAAACTATAGAAATTATGACGTCAAGGTATGGAACTTCTTTGATCCCCACTACAGTTTTCACCCTTATCCATATCATGAGCTCTAAAAGGTTTATTGATTACAGTGGAAAATGTGATGTGACTTTGAAAGCATATTGGGGCTCGTATATGGGTATCAAAATTCTATACCACTTTTTCTAATGTGCCCGCACAATTTTAATTCGACAGAATATGTCTCGCGTTAGCTCGCGTTCAAGGAAGCGTCGAAGGCTATAGCAATCATCATGTCACCACCGCATAGTGATCCGTCTCTCGGCTGGATCTAAAGAGAATCGACTTTCAGAGTTGTGTGTGAATTTCCTGCCCACAACACAAAGATAGCGTTTGAAACTCTCAACTAACAAAGTCACTCTGAACGCGGGCGTTGGGTTTTCGAGTCCAGAGATGAAGCCTCACTCAATCATCTCTCACGAAAACTTTGCACCGGTGGTCCAGAACACTGCGTTCTTTGAGAAGCTACATACAGTCAAACCCACGCGGTTGACTTGATTTCGCGCCAAAATGCTCAAGTTTGACTGGAAATCTGGGCCAAGACAGCAAATTGAAATGTACTAAAAGTTGGATTGGTAAACAAACTTTGAAGCGGGTGATGAAGCCCTCGGTAAAGCGAGACTGAAACCTTTCAACCTACCGTGCTTGACCGGATCGCTTCAATCTGATTCTCTATGATTCTCTTTGAAATTCTACCTCGGAAAGAAAGTCAGGTTGACCTAGGCTAAAGGATGAGATATCTTTATGCAACTGTGTATAAGAAGATGAGGAATCATGGTAAGCGTCTTAATTCCCCTCTCTCGCCAATCTCATCTCCCCTTATCTACACAATGCATAACATCCCTCTCTCAATTATCACTCGATGATTGGGGAGAGGTACACGATGACGACTCTCCATGAATCAACCTGTTTGGCAAAGCGAGTAAGATTCATTCGATACCCTATAATTGTACACTGTACACCTTACTGACCAATTGCCTGCACTTTCAACAATTGAAGTTTGTCATTAATAGCCTACTCATCCCAAGAGTTTCCCGCTTGCGTTTTGGGTCTTAAAGAGAAGCATAACACATATGTTTTTTCCACCTTTCCTACTTGATGAATGAGAGGTATCTATCGGATACATGTAAATGCAAAAGATGTGCTGGACTGATCCAGGGAGAGCCTGATAATCAGAAGAGGATGTGGAGCTATTTGAGTGGTTCAGATCTCTGAATACACTTCCTTCTCCTACCCCTTGGCTTCCAAGACTTCTGCAAAGTGCTGTCGAATGCATGGTACATACAACCCAGTGAGATTATCCAGTTTTGGATCAATTTCTATCTTTAAACCTCCGTTTCTGTCGGTGATGAGGTTTGGTTGATGAATCTCTTGGATTAAGCATGATTAGATGTCATATGGAATATTGTTCACTGCCAATCGACTGCGACCATCACCCAACTGCACCTCTCGTGTAGCGCCGTTTCCTTTTTACCCAACTTTACCGTACTTCGGGTATACGCAGATGCCTGTTAGTTCATCGGACCCGACGTACAGTCATTTCACATCCAAAACGTGCTTTTTCTTTTCTCTCTCTAAATCGTTTTCTGGCCCGGGTCCTTCGTTGCGAGACACCAAGACTGGTGTGGATGACGATCTACAGACTTTCAACTCCACCCGATTCGTCAAAGATTCAATTTTCAGCATCCTCACTTTATCTTACAGACTTCTACATAGCCGTTAATCCTTTTTTTCAATTTATTTCTCCTTGTCTATTACCCTCTAAAACATCTCTTAAAATGATTTTGACAGCTCTGGAGCTAGAAATATAAACCAAGCCCACTTCAATTGAAAAGCTTGCCCCTCTGTCGGATTTAAAAACTTATCCTCTAGATTTTGATTTTCGGCCCCTACATGAATTAGTCTTACTGCTAATTTTCTTGCTGTGTGGGTAACTTTTTTTTCCTTTTTAGCCCCCAATCGTTTTCCCTGCCCCAAACTCTTTCATAAAGTCGTCATACTTTCAAGAGCAGAGCAGGTTTCCTCTAACTCCCGAAAATCTTGGCTGTGATTTTTCTCAACTCTCACCCACGTATAAATTCTCACTCCTGATTTGCGACCAGAATCTTTTTAGTAAAGCCAGTTTATATTCGATTACACGATAAGAGGAAACATCGTCCTATAAACTTTCCAATCTTCATTCATCTCTGATCCGTAGTCATAGGCATCATATGAAAACATCACCATCATCTCAACAACTTTGATTGACCTTGATTAACCGAAATTTTAACCTGCTTGGCTACGCCGGGCAATTTCCACAAACTGCACTAAAAAACGCCGTTCGACAACCGATTATAGTCTCTACGTCTTTCGGGTCTTAGCTCGCAGCTTGTTCTTCTGCCCCTCCAAAGGAAAGGAGATAAGCTACCAGTAGGTCTCTAGTTTGATAACCTGACAAGCGAACAATTGAGTTAGGGGCTGTCTGCTAAACTGAGACCCCCTTTGGCCTTTCTCCTCTCACTCGCCCCCTCTCTCTATCAAAATCTTCATCTTTTTGCTCATGTGTTAAGTAGTAAGACCTTTAACGTGTTAAACCTGGCTATCAATCCACTTCACGCGACGATCGAGACGTGAGCAATGGCAGACATCATGGAACATCAAATTACACTCTCGATCAATGATCAAAGCGCTCCAATACCTCCTTCCTCACCAAAAGTTTTAGCACCACCTCCATCGTCATCCTCATCATCATCACCGCCGACACTACCAACACTACCACCGCCAGACCTCTCTACACCTACGAATTGGAATCGACCGTTACAGGACTTAGCATCGATTGTACCTGCTCTCTTAACTCATCCTTCTTCTATACATTCTTCTCCAATCATCAATCAACCAGAGTTGAGCCCCGAATTACTTCGCCTGCCCCAGTCTGGACCCAAGAAGATGTCTCGAGCTGAGAAATTCTTTTGGTGGGGATTCGTTTTACCCTTACTTTGGATTCCAGGAACTTTTCATCTTCATCGAAGATTTTGTCCTAAACTAAAAAAATCTACGCGAGAAGAAACCAAACGTAAAAGTAAAAAACTTACAGGTAGATTAAGGGCAAGAATTGGTAGAAACGAAGTAGGAATCGGCCAAACTTCTTTGGTGATTATTCCTAAGAATTCGAAACTTGATCATGGAGAAGAAGAAAAGAGGAGGGGGGAAGAAGATTGGAATGTACTTTCGGAAAGTCCGGCCGAAAGGTTTTTGGGAGAAAGCGAAATGAGGTTAGATTGGTTGGTGTGCGATTATCAAACAACTTTTTTGGAAGCCCAGAAATTACGAGAGGTTAGTTTTGATCTCAATTTCCATACGTTTAGTGTTTTTCGGTCGTCTTCTACCCTCGTTCTAAGTTTGACTTGTGTTTGAAATTTTAGGAGCGCAAATGGGCATGTAGATGCTTGATGGCGATCATGATAGCATCAGGAGTAATGGTAATAGCAGTCGTTATCAATCATCATCTTCAAAAAGGTACTGGAGTACAATGGAAAGGAAATATTCCAGATGCTGGAAATTTCGGAGGAGCTAGTTCCAGTAAAACAAATAGACCACTTTGAGAATTTCATGTCTTAGTTTCTTTCTTGTTAATCTATTTAGGGGGTTTGAAGCTGGTTTTTTAATGACTCATTCTGTACTGCGCCAAATGTAGGTTTTTCTTGCTATGATTGGGTTATGGTGTATGGGTTATATAGGGGATGATTGTCTTTATTTTTTTTGAAGCTTATAATGATTTGAGATCTTTTTAATCTAATCTTTGTATCACTATCTAAAACAGTATTCATTATTGGTTATATACTATCTTCTCTTGCGTCTCTATGTAGTTGAAGACAATGTTGATTTAATCGCGATCTAAAAATTCCTTGCATTAATTGATTGGTTCTTTTTCCGTGGCTTACTGTCATATCGAGTATCAAATAACTATAAAACACAGAGCATGAAGTTGTGTGCTGGGTCCCAGTAAAAATTGGCGTGCCCGTTGTTGAGACTTACTTGGTGACCATGATGTGGTACATTGAGAGGATTGAAGAAACGAGTTTACATGTTCATAGCACATATAAATCGGTATAAGCAAGGTCAAAAAACACACCCTGAGGCTGTGATAAGCAGATCTTGATGTGACCTTGTCATCTTTGATGCCTTTTTACATTTTTCAACTTCAAGGATGCCTTGGGTAGCTCTGAAGAATACTAAACATGAACAAACCTCCATATCCTGGTATCTAAACTTACCATTTCCTCACCGTACACATCACTACCTAAGCCTATAAATATTCACTTGTCCAATTTGTTGTGTTTTTCTCACTCTTTCTGGTGCTGATGAGTAAAAAAATCTCAACTGAGACTGAATGTAGCTATTGACATGATATAATATGTTTAGGCCTTGGGGTGTCCATATTGAGCGGCACTTCAAGCAGGTCTCAAACCAAAAGATCTCCAATCAATCAGTGGGTTGTACAACACAGCCACAGCTCATGGGCACATTCAATTTTACATCATAGGCAGTCTTGATGATATCAAAATGCAACTGAGATATTGATGCCTCTAAATTTGTTGGATAACGGGAAAAAAGGATACAGTAAGCTGCAAGACACAAAAGAGAAAAACAAATGATCTCAGTTTTGAAAACATCTTGACTCTTGAATTATTAGCAAAAGTATAATGGTGTTTGAGACTCATGTTATGCATGTCTCATTGCAGAAGTCCACTCACCTCAAAGTAATTAGTGCTAACTACTGTGTGCAAGCATACATTTGTTCCTAATATACCCAGTCATGAAGGAGTGTGTGGAGAGTTGAGACTGTTGTTCTGAAACATGGCCTTGCAAATTGGATTGAGTTTTACCGGCTATGATTCAACAAGACGTCATAAACTCGGGTGTGTGGTTAGGTCAGCATGTGCTTTATCAGATCAGGTCAGTTCCACTCAGATAAGTACGATGTACATTGTGGTGATCAATTTATGGGATTGATCAAAAAAATTATTCATAGTAGTTTACCAAATTAATTAGACAAGTTCAGCAGTGAAGCAAACTCAAAATTGAAGGAATCTGATCAATAGAAGCTCTATTAGGCTTATGTATTGTTCATTACGTCATGATTAGGTCACTTTATTTCAAACACCTTATTAGGGTCAGTAAAAACTATTCACAAATGAATTATAAAAAGGAAGGACAGAAAAACATAAGGAAAATTTGAAAATATAGGTATACAAACTTGGAAATGGTTTTTAGGGTAGTAATATTAGGTTTATGTGTTTTGTGAGGTTAGAATATGAAAGAACAGAATTATATCAGTCAGTAACAATTGAAATCTTGATGGTTGATAAGGGGAAATGGAAGTTATTAAGGAAATGGTACTTTTTTGAAGCTGGTAAACAAGGGTTTTACGGGTAGTTTACACATGTAATGGTGGTATTAGTAATATTTAAGGTTGCCAAGAGGATTTTCCAGGATTTTTAAGGTTATATATGATGATGTAATTTTACAGGAGCAAGAGAGTAGGAGCAAAAGCTGTGTACAGGGGTACAAAGGTGTGAATTTTGTCACAAATGGAGGTTTTCAGCTTATTACATATGTCTAATGATGTCAGAATGGGATAGTAGATAGCTCATTCAACACAGCAGAGGTGATTAAATAAGTTACAAACTTTAAACCATTAGTAAAAGAGGTGTGTAAAGAAATTTATAAGAGAAATAAGAAAATGGTGTGGATTTCAAATTTTACACTTGCGTACATACATGTAACAACATTTACATACAAAAACCTTAACTTCACAACTCAATAACTCATTCATTACTCATTGGAAGTAGATGATATGGCCCCAATTGTTAATCAGCATCACAATATCTAGAAGATGCACATTAGTAATCACAAATTGGACATCATTTGGAAAAACCCATAACTTCAAAAATAGGTTGTCAGCCAGTTTACAAGGAAAAAAACACCTGTATTCATCATAAGAAGTGCTGTACATCATTCAAATAAGTCATTGATCACTTTTGGCTATGAAAATTACATCATAAATTGGTAACAAGACCATTACATTGCGTCAACATATGGTTTTTAGGGTTTTTTTGTCGAAATTGATTGGTTTTTGAGGCTGTTGACCATTGTAAGAGTTGTAACACATTATTATATATAAACTCTAGGATGATTTTGGGATTTTTGTTGCCCTTTTTTCTTTATCATCTACACAGTTATCAGTGTTTTTATCATCATAAACTTATTTTGGCAGTACCTGGTCACTTAAATGTGCCCTTTATTATAGCTATAAGGAGAAATTTACTTTAGTGTTTTAGTACAAAAAAACCTATTGGGAATGATATCAAAAAGACATTGCTGATTTTCTTAGTTATCATATTGGAATAAAACTATAGCAGTGTTGAGAGAAATAAAATTGTGCTTTTTGAGTTAAAATCTGTGTGCTTTTGGTCCTTTAAAGGTGCTTTCCTGTGGTGCCTTATCAGTACTCAATTCAACAGAAGTTCTCTTTTCTGATTGTCTTGTTTTATGAGGGCGGTCCTTAGACCCTTTCTGTATAGTTATTACTTGCAGATTGTACCCTTTACCCTCTGTATAACCCTTGTTGGGTTATAAGTTCTACAACGGCCTACTGCAGGGTTCTGCAGAAGAAACGATGGTTGGGGTTTTTAGACCTGATAGCCCTAGAATAAAATCTAGAGTGCCTTAGTTGGAATGCAGGGATCTTGTCAGCTATGAGTGAAATGGCACCCGGACGAGGCACGAGGTAGGTTGCCCGGGTCCATGGACTAGCGGGTCCAACTGACAACGCGTCAGAGGGGATTACCTCTGACTTAGCAGCCTGGTTGATGGTTGGAAAGATCAACCGTCAGGCACGTACCTGCCAAGAGGTTATTCCCTCAGCTTTGGGAAAGATCTGACATGATCAGACAGAAACGAAGTCGAGAGGTAATGTTCATATAGCACATTCACTCAAATTCATCTTTCAGAGTTTCCTGCACTGGATCCTGTCTTCTATTCTTTCTCTTCATCTCATCCTTTCCATTATCCGGCTTTTCCTCCCAGCATGGCTTTCGTGTCAAGTCTCTAAGACTTTCCCCCTTTTTTGTGTCCATCCCTGCCTCCCCACAAAATTCTGTCTGGTCTCCTAAAAAGTAGACCAGAGGACGGGGCTAAGCGCTAACCCCCCTTCTGTGCTTAAGTCCCCGTCGTCTGCGACACACTCTGATGTCGGTACCTTTGATTTTTCGTCTCCCCTTTTAGGAAAGCTCTAGATCCTACTTTCGATTACCGGATCTTACGGCGGTGCTCAGACATGTTGATAACTACCTCTCCCTAGAGGTTTCTCGATCCCTGGCTACCTCCTTCCCGAGTCTTTTGTCCTAGAGACGCCAATTCTTAGGCACCTCCCCCCATACACGTGACCTACTGGTTACGCGTACATCTTTGTGCGAATAGTCTTTTTATATTGTATCAAAGATAACACTAAGTGTTTCTTAAATATTTAGTAATACATGCAATAAAATCATACTATTTGCTCTCCTTCTTAAAGCTTCTGATGAAGCGCACACGACCAAAGCCCAGCGCAACCCAAGACCCAATAAGGGAATGGACTGCAAAACCAGTGGATTTGACCAAGTAAACCACCCACCTTACGGTAAGCAGAGGGGTTGTTTCGAACTCAGGGAGTTTTTAGATAACGTAGCTGACACTATCTTGACACAGCCAGAAATTAAAGGATTTTACAATGAGAGTGTGGTTCAAAATGCCTAACAATTGGTTATGCTATTAATTTTCAAAGCTTTTAAGAGATGACACTTCTTCAAGACTTGAGTCAATAGAGAATGGAACTAGGCATTAATATAGCTAGCTTTTCAAGAGAAGTGGATTTTTTAGTCAAATAATTAAAAGGTGACAGGGGAAGAAGGTGAGGTTTCTTCTTGTCTGATGAGAAATCCTTGTGTTATACTCTTACTTGTTAAGATAGGCTAAGTTACTATCTTGTTATGTAGTCAAAGATCACTATCCATTTATGGTAATTGGATGTTTATAGAAATAGAAGTTGTGAGCGTTGGACTAGATCAAGATCTGTCATGCAGTGACTAGTGTGAAAATTAGTGAAGAGTACAAAGGGGTTATTTGGGAAATTGAATCAAGGGGTAAAATGGTGGATTCTTTTGGGTTTATCTTTTATCTTTTTGTAATTCTCTTTTCCTCTCTTTTTCTGCTTCTTTTCGTGTCAAAAAGAATCAGTAAGTTTCTCCTAAATTCATTCTCCTGATTTCTCATTTACCAACGAGTCTAATAGTTTTATCTTCAGCTTAGATTTCATAATTTTATTTTGTTCATTCAAATCCTCACGCGTGCTCCACACTTTTGCTTCAAGCTTGCAGGTAGTGATATCTTATCTACATTATCTCCAGTTATTGTTTTCTTTTCTGATATCTTTTACTTTCACTTTTGTTCTCTTACTGTGCTGTTAGGTTAGTGTTTTGGTTCTTGCTGTTGACTAGCAGAAGCTATAGTCTAATACGGAACCTGTTGCCCTCAGGTTTGTGTCGAAAAGAATCAATTTCATAATTTTATTTTGTTCATTCAAATCCTTACGCGTGCTCCACACTTTTGATCCAAGCTTGCAGGTTAGTGTTTTGGTTCTCGCCGTCGACTAGCAGAAGCTATAGTCTAATACAGAACCTGTTGCCCTCAGGTTAGTGTTTTGGTTCTCGCCGTTGACTAGCAGAAGCTATAGTCTAATACTGTAACAGGGCCCGTCTTAGGGTACTGTTAAGTCTTAAGATTTAGTGGCTTACGAAAATAAGTCTTAGAGACGATTAGGGTCTGAGGATTAGATGAGAAGACAAGGAGTCCGAAAGGACAGATGCAGTTTGAATTACGGTATAAGATAGTGAAAGTTAAAGAAGCTGTAAGAGCTAAAAGAGTAATTAGAAAGAGAAGACAATTGTCGTCGAAGGATAATTGAGATTATTAATAGTAATGGATTAAGAGTAAGCTAAAAATAGAGAATCAAGATCGAAGATGAGAGTATGATAAAAAGATAAGTTCTCAGGAAACAAGAAGTCTTCCGAAGAATACATGGTTATATAAGAGAAATGAAGTAAAGAAGGCTGATTAAATGAACAGGGCGATTACAGTTGAGAAAGGGCGAGCCCTGGAGTCTAGTCAGAGATAAAATAAAGGAAACCAATAACATCACAACACCCACGATGGCAAGTACAATCCGTGGCTTGTGCTATAATACCAAAGATGAAACCAGTCTTGATGAGGTGATCTTAAGTCAAAGTATTAAGTGGTTTTAGTCTGGACTAAAAGGTAAGGAGTAGGCACGTAATTAGCAGCCCTGCTACAATACGGAACCTGTTGCTCTCAGGATTCCCTTTCTATACTATACACTTTTCTAGCTACACAGTCAACCTAAAGATTCAATTTGAATCTTGAGAAGAAAACACCTCGAGAACTTCTATATTACTGACTGAGAGGCTTACTTGTGGCTGCAAAGCTTGGTTACTTCAGTCACTAGCCTTAAATTCTTGTTGGTTGGCCAACTTGTGGTTGTGACCAATTGGGAAAGGTATGGTACTTGGCTTCAATGGTTGGCCAGCTTGCAGTTTTATACCAATTGGGAATTGACAAGATTCTCCTCACCTTTCCTGATACTTGTGCCACAACTTTAGGGTACCGCTTGAGTTCTTGTTGTGGAGTTGTTGGTTTGTAATCCTACAGTTATTGAGGTCTTTCTCTTGTAATTCCCTTTTTCTAGTTATCATTACTTCTTTGGCTAACAACTGTTTTCTTTGACTTATTGTTGCATTTCCCGTAAGGTGTATAATTTTTATAGGTGATTAGTTTTTATTGATATCTTTGAAACTAGACACACACTGTAGAAGATTTTTATATGTATTTATTTTAAGGCAGTCTTTCTGCCTCCTGATGTTGTCTTTGAAACTAGACACACATTGTAGTAGTAGTAGTATTTAAATGAAAACGATGGAAGAAATGTTTTATTATTATCATTTTAATATATAATTATGTGTGTTCTGGGGCAGCTCCTTTAGCTTTGTGTCAAAGCTCAGGGGCTGACAGTGATGGTTTGTGTCAGATCCCTCACACAAACATATATGTATTCAATTAGGTCATTCCTAAAGATAAAGAATCATGGTGTACACAACTTTACAAGTGCAACACAGATGATCAAATGAAAGATTTCTACAGCTTGCTGTCAGCCGTAGCCTGTGATCAGATTTGACAAAATGTTGTGGAGTAAAAAAAGAATCTGATGTTTATCAAGATCTCAAGTCAAGGGAAGGAGAGGGTGGGAAAAAAAGTTATGCTGCTTGGGCAAATTTGTATAGTTTGGGTGATCACCAAAAAGAAAGCAAAATAAGAAAGAATTTCAGCATGAAATTTCAAACAAAGCTAAGGGCCTGTTTGGTACAATTCAATATACATATATCGTGATATACTACACCAAACCAATATACAGTATATATGACGATATACGTATATCAAATTTCGAAAAGAGCCGTGGTGTTTGGCAAGAGTATTTGGACAAAAGAATAAATCATACATCATGATATATTTGTCCATTCTGATATACAGCCTTGAGGCCGTATATTGGACCATAAAACCCTTTTTGCCCCTCTCCCTTTTCCATACCCTTCTCTCTCCATCACTCTTTCCCCCTTCCTTTTTGCTCAACCTCTCTTCATTTACCATAAACTCTCCTTCACCATACCCAATCCTTGTTTCTTCAAGTTCAACCGTCACCATTCCAACTCTTTCAACCGTTCATCACCCTTTCTTCCTTATCCATCCTCATGTTATGATCATTCTTGCTCTGCTCATTTGTCTATGTCCTGATCTTTCATCCTTTCCAAACTTTCATCTTTGTTATCAACTTCTGTCTTTGTCTTTGTTCACTTTCATTGAACAAACAAAAATAAAATGTTTATCAACATAAATACAACTGATTTCAATGGATAGTTGGAATAATACATGCATGAATGAAAGAACAAGGATTTGATGAGAGTTGCAATATGGATGGTTTTCAAAAAGATTCAATTGTTTTAATAAGATTTGATCATTTTTAAAATGTATAAATTGATTTCCAAATTTCAATTGTTGTCACCAAACACTCGACCAATGATCAACAGGTCAAGAACAATCATTGTGATCTTTTGTTGACCTGTTTGGTCGAGTGTTTGGTAAATTGAACAACCAAATAAACGGTATTTCAATCTGCACCTTGATATAGGGGCATAAGGCCTGGACCCGGCCCGGCCCGGCCTTCAAAATCAAAGCCAACTTGGACTCTTGTTTTTTAGTGGGCAACCCGGCCCAGCCCAAGTATAAAAAAAATTTGCACGGCACAGCAAAAATATACAAAAATAACAAAAATAAAACAAAATTGATGATTTGCGGCACATTATATTGGCCATTGGAAGCCCTTTTTTTGCTTTTTGGGTGTCATTGCCACTTTTTGGGGCCTCTCAGATCCCCTTTCATCACTGCATTTGCTCAAAACCCTCAGTTTCAGCCCTTTTGCCCAGCCCAAAAGCACACTACTCTTGGGCCCGAGGGTGAATTTCTGAGGCCGAAAACGCCCGAGCCCGGCTCGGGCTTGCCCGCTGGTCCCGGTGCCGGGTCCAGGCCTTATAGGGGCAGATCAATAAACTGTGTTTTGCCAACAGTATATTGGAATTCCTACCGAACGGGCCCTAACAAAGCTTTTGAGTTTTCATACAAACTTCAAGATTGCTTGTGATCGATCGACATGAATTAGATGTTGTTTTGTGGGATGAAGATGATGTGATCCATGTGTATTCAGTGTCAATCTAATGTAAACCACGGTTGCAAGAGTGCTGTGGTCACTGGTGGAATGCGTTGTGTGCTGTGGTAGGTTGTGGTGCGAGGCCGGAATCGAAAACGAGGTAGGAAGTCGAATTTGCAAAATCTCAAAATTCAAAATTCAAAACGCGTGGCGGAGATTTCACGTCTCGTCTTCGGTAGTAATTCGACAGATTCAAAATTTTAATCAGATAAGCCAACTGGCTAACACTGAAAATTCCTTCAAGGGGTACAACATCAAACTTCAATCTTTCCCTCTTCCGATCGGTCACCTTCATCGTTTTTCTCTATGACGAGGCTCGCATTCTTCTTCGTACTTTTCGTTTGTTTTTTCGTAGTTCACGCCGGGGAGGTGAACATATATTGGAATATCACATATGCCACAGCGAATCCGAATGGACTGTTTGAGAGAAGGGTGATTGGAGTCAACAACACCTGGCCGTACGTGATATTCAGTTGGATCCTAAATGTTATACGCCTCTGACTTCACTCATCTCTCTTAGTCCGCCCCCCATCACCGTCCAGGCCGGAGACGTCATTCGGATGCATGCATATAACGGATTGGGTGATATACCTACAACCTTACAGTCAGTGACTGAGATCCAAGAAGCCGTTGATCGTCCTGACTAACTGATGATAAATTTCACACACCGCAGCTTTCATGGAATGTTTTTCAATCAGACCAACTTCTATGACGGGGCGATGGGCATAACGCAATGGTACATCACCGAATTCATCATGTTTGATCCCATGGGAATCAGCGTTCCAAGCTGAATACTTCCTCTTTTGCTACTTCACAGTGGCATTCCCCCTGGAGAAGAGTTTATATACGTCGTTAACACTACTACACAGGTTGGGACCTATTGGGTTCATGCACATTCATTGGTAAGTATACAACAAGTAAGATTGTTGGCGGTTCATAGTACCAAAACTGATGATGATACGAATGTCGACAGGGGCAATATGTTGACGGACTCCGAGCCCCCGTGGTGATATTACCGGTCGAAAAGCCGACATACACGGATGAGTATACCGTAAGTAGTTGATGCATGGATGATCTACGAAGACGGAAGCTGATGAGACTATCTTGCAGGTTGTATTGTCTGATTGGTACCATACTAAACACTCGGACTTGATGTTGACTTATATGAGCAAAAATAATCCGATGGGTGCCGAGCCTGTCCCTGGTAAGTCATCAGGCCATCCCAAGCCAATGAATCTAGCTCTTATTGGTGACTTACTCAATACTTTACAGATAGCGCCGCCATATACGCCATACACAACAATACTTATCTTCCTATGTTCAACGAAAATGTCACTATTCCGTTTTCGCCGGGAAGTACTTATCGGATAAGGATCATCAACATGGGCGCCTTTGGCATGTTTCATTTCAAGATTGACGGTCATGAGATGTCAGTCATCGAGGTGGATGGTGTATGCATCTTTTTCTATTGCCCGAATGACTACAATGCGTAGCAAGATTCCAATATTCAACCCCGTCCTCTCATCGGATCGATAGACAGATATACAACCTTTATCCGTGGACAGTTTGTCTTTGTCGGTCGCCCAGAGGTATTCTGTCTTGGTCACAGCTCGTAATGAAACAAATTCGAATTGGCATATGCATGCGAATTTCGATCCGGATATGTTTGATAAAGTTCCAGACAATTTAATGCTTAGTATGTTTGATTGGCATTCTTTTTACTTCAAACCTGTCATGGATTTTGATCTATACGGCATTGCTAGATTACACGACTTCCATCACATATGACTCCAAAGCCTCAATGTCACCAGATCAACCATTCACAGTATATGAGATGACAGACGACACGAGGTTCCAACCACTTATCGTACAACCTATTCTCAGGCCAACGCGACCGATTGAACTGAAGTAAGCCGCTTCAAACAACCCAGTGTATCAGCAGGAAAGGATCAAGCTAATGTCACTCTCGATAGCGCTTTCTTTGTCACTTTCGAAAACGGTATGAACCGAGCCTCGTTCAATAATGTTACTTTTGTACCACCCCTGGTGCCAACCACTATGACAGTGGATTCTGCACCATTTGAGGCTCTCACAAATGTTGCTATATATGGACCTCAGAGCAACATATATTTGGTGGAGAATTTTGACGTAGTGGAATTGAAAGTTCTCAATTGGGACTCTGGAAATCATCCTTGTAAGTGGCTGTCTTCTCCACATATATTTGTAAAAATGGATATCTCATTACGACTGAAGCCAATCATTCATGACTGGGAAATATAGTCCACCTCCACGGCCATAAGTTTCAAATAGTTGGAAAACAGATGAACATCAATGATCAGTCACTCATAGATGAAAATCAACTCAATCCAATGAGGCGAGATACTGTGCAAATCCCCGGAGGCGGTTCAGTCACACTTCGCTTTATAGCCGACTCTCCTGGTAGTTGGTTCTTTCATTGTCACATCGAAGTAAGCGGTATTGTCATCTATTGACTCTTGAAGAGCACGCTGACCAGGACGTGTTTCAAAATCTTGTAGTGGCATCTAGAGTCGGGGCTAGCAGCGATAGTTCTGGTAGCACCAACAGTCAGTCAATCAAACATCCCAGTCCCAACATTCATGAAAGATCATTGCAAAAAACTTGGAAAACCATACTCGGGTAATGCTGGCGGTGTATCGGGATCATCGATCTACGATCTTTCGAATGCCCCACATGGTCCCTATCCCCAAAATCCAGGCTTTCATACCAAAGGAATTCTTTCAATTGCAGCGTGTATTGCTTCTTCTTTGATCGGTGTCATCACAATCATCTGGTATACAATGGGTGAACAATTCGAAGAGGAAGATGTGAAAATTGAACTAGAGGAGAAAATAGCGAGCAAAGCGGCTAAACGTCAAAAACTATTGAGCACTGGAAATACATTGATGAGGATCGTAGGATCTTCGAACTCACGTCGAAGAAGATCTTGAATCAATTGGGAAGGGGCTTTGGAGTCAATTGTTTCCTTTTATTTCTTGGTTTTTGGGTCATTTGCTTGGCAACTTTACGGTGGTGAGATAGTTCTATTTCTCGGATTATATCAACTTCCAATAAATTTACGTTTGATATTCATGAATGGTAGATTATCTTTGTAAATTAATGCATGATCTTGAGACAGGAACGAAGTGTTATAAAAGCAAAAATGATGTAGCATTCTTGACAAAATTAATAACAGCAAAAAAATGTAAATGAGGGTCTTCATTCTCCAGACGTGTCTCTTTACTAAGGTTTAATTCTTTTGGCTCTATGTTCATTCAGAATGTAACCAATGTGTTCTCTTGAACCATTGCGAGGTTCCTTGGGTGTCGTGCAAGGTGATCGATGTATCTTTTTTATCACGACCAGGACACAACATATTGATATGAAAATTGCTCAAAAAACTATAGTGTATGATGTAGCCGTAAAAATGTACATGTGGAACGTAGGAATATTCTTTCACCTCAGCTGAATGGATGGAGATGTGAAGTAGGAATGAAGCATCAACACCGCTACGTCAAGTGTATTCCAGTAATATGGCTATCGTGGTCAGTCAGAGGTAAAGGCTAGACTTTGAACATGTCTCAAAAATTTCATGGGCCAAACCATCCATAGGCAAGAAGGAATCTTCCCAGCTTGACGGTGGCAAACCCAGTGAAGCTTTTGATTGCAGAATTCAAACTTCCCAACCCAGGAATAGGTGTAGCAACTCCTGACTTGGTGAGATCGCTCGGAAAATTATCTTCTTGTCTGTTGATCACGGAGAGTCATTAGAGCTACCACTGTACTACTTATATAATGGCTTCCACTGACCTGTAGATGCGATACTTCCCGTCCTCGCATTTCCTCAGGCTAATGCGTACGATGAATCGCACCGCTGCTCGAGATGATGTGAGTCGAGCGATGGGGTTCATTCGCATCGTCATGTGTTCGGTCAATTCTACAGTCTCCGTTTTTATCATGCGGAGTATGATCAATAAGAGGTCCATTTGCATAAATACACCGGTATGGGTCTGCAGCGTGAAAGACATTCACCGATAGTACCCTCGGTCTTGTCCTCGTTGAACATCACGGCGTGGAACTCGATCTTGTTGTCTAAAGACTGGACCCGACTACCTCAACAAGAATGGTGTCTATGATCAGCCATCCAGATCAGTGATGAGCTGCGGGGAATGCATACGCACAGGATCTTGTAGATCCCCTTCAAGTCCTCCATCCCGTTGTCTTGGCTGTATGGCTGATTGATGAATGGGTGGAGTACCTGTGCATCGCGAGTGAAGTACCTGGAATAAATGCACATTTGACCTTCAGCGACATCGCTGGCTAGCTGAAAAAAAATCTACCAACTTCTCAATGTTTTCTGCAAGGGTTGTTGCCTCATAAGGCTCTGTGATGGAGCGAATAACGTCTTCAATCTGACACGAGGGCAGTGATATCAGTTTCTAGTTTATATCTGGTTGCGTTAAGACGTGAAGAAATGGTGTTTTGTAAAGCAGACAAGTTGAGAAGTGTTCTGACCTCCTTGACTGGGTCATCCATTTTGTGATGATTTGCAGACTTGAAACTAGAAGAAAGTATATTTGCTGGGTAATGACTCGAGATTCGAGAGCTCTTCTTTTGGCAGGGGTTTTACAAGCGTATCGGTTAAAAAAATCGACAAAAGAAAAATTAGGATGATGGACTCGGGGAAAGTGGCCAAAAAGGCTGGATTATATAAGCCCCAGGATGCAAGGCTGCGCCGGAAGGTACTGAGACAACATTCAGCTGACTGGGAGATGACTTTTCACACCGTTGTGGGACTGTAAACAACTCAAAGTTGTGCGCGATGTCCAAACAGGCAGCTTTGAAATGATCCAGGGGTTCGATCGCGAACCTTTCTCCTCCCGTGTCCGCAGCGGCTAGCCGCGAATTATAGCGCCAACACGCCTGGATATATTCCACCAGAAGGTTTTGTCGGAACCCCCGAAAGACCGTTGTGGGGGTTCCGTGCGAAAATGGCGTGTCCAAGTCAGTTCGCGGTTTTCCAGCAGTTGGTAATTTGAAAAGGACTGCGCGGACCTCAACTGGGTTGTTGGATCGACAGCAAGTTGGGAACCGAAGGGAGGAGGAGACGGTGTTTCCTCAACTGTTATGGTCTCATCCGATAGCCACAAGACCACACGGCCGTGGCATCCCGGGCCAGGGTTTAAGTTGGATGAGCAAAAGCGGAAAGGCACAAATGCTGAGTGACAAGACCGTATTCGCGAAAGTGGCCGGTTTGGGGAATGTAGCAAAGATCTCGCATCTCCGCGAATTGAGGATCTGAAAGATCCAGTGTTCTTTGAGTGCACAAGGGACGGATATTACAAGTGAAGGGACCTCGCTTTGGGGCTCTTGAGTTGGCAACTTCGCTTTCACGCTTTCTCTGGCGACTCCCCCCCTTGTTCGCAACAATCATTGTGCTGTTTGCGTGTCTAGAATATTAGTAAATTTTTGCTGCATCCATTACAAGGAACCTTTAACTTTTGAAACATGCGCCCAAACGATAAGTCTATGCTCTTCATCATAAACCGTCATAAATATCACATCAACGTTCTTCTTGGCTTGTTCAGAGGTTCCTAATAAAACGTGGTTTTGATTCTTATCATAGAGGTGAAGTAGTAGTTTTTGCATCATCTCTACACGCATCATTTTATGGCCACTATCACTGGTCATCAAGTCCGATCCAAGACGATAAGGCTGGCAACGACAAGATGATGATCACAAACACCGCTATGATTCATTTTCTTATCAATCCAAGTCCTGTCCACTCTTTCAATTCTTTTCAGACACACTTCCTTCACCAACCAAACACAATCATCTTTGAATCAAATACGAAATATTTAATCATTTGACCTTTGCTATGTTCTCCTTCGATCATGTCTGTCGGTTCATCTTCCGGATCACGACATTCAGATCGGGATAATGGACCTGCTGTTGATCAACCAAATGGACAAGAAGACTCTAATTGGAACCGTAGCGAGGAACGTAGAGAACGTACACCAAGTCCACGTCATACAAATCATCGAGAAAGAAGTAGAAGTCCAATAAGAGGATCTGCAGTCACTAGTGATGATTGTGGTCGGTATGTTGAAACTTTCTTTCTTCAATCATGGCACGTCTCTTTCGCTCATACATCTTACTTGTTTCTTCGTCTGAACTCAATTTTTCTTCAGATCTAGTGATGTTGTCAATCCTGGTGACAATTTACATGTTTCAGGCATCAGTCTCCATGTCGAAGATCGTGATTTAGAAGAACTTTTCTCCAGATTTGGCAAGGTAAGTGACTATGATTCTGAACTGTTATTCCCTCTTTTGAGAACATCATTAATGATGAGGAGTTTTCTCTTGGAATGGATAGGTACTACAATCACAATTGATGCGTGATCCTCATACTACAGTTCTCTTCCTTTTTCCCCATTTCATTTTTCTCACTTCATTCGCTCACAGGACGCTTGCTCTCACCCTGAATTGACGGTCTCACGCGAATGGGAGGGACGTCGGCGCATCGCGCGGTTTCATTTTCCTTTGTATCGCCGCGGTTTGTTTTGGAAATTTATTTCCGCTGAGGCGTGATGTAATCCAAGTTCGAATTTTCTTAATTTCCCAAATCGCTGTGTTACCGAGCTAACTCGAAGTCGCGCTGATGCGCGGAGCAAAACCAGTCCGCGCGTCAGCGTGGATGGTCGGGAGTACGGGAGTCCTCTTATCCCCGAGTACCGAGGGAAGCCTCGGGTGTAACAGTAAAGCCTGAGAGACAATCCATTCTGGATTCGTTTCTCCGGCTTCGATCGTTGCCTGTAAATACCTTCTGGTGGAATAAGCGCGTGCCGCCAACACTTGGGATCAGGTGCCACTGCCAGTGCGTGAGTGTTGTGAGAATGTGCCGCATTCGTCGAGGGACCCCACTAAATTTAGCGCACCCTTGGCAAACACCCGGAGCCCCATGTCTGGGGCATTACCCCTACACAACTGGGGTGGATAAAATGGAGTTTCTGGGCCAAAAAATCAAAACCTACATGATCAAACTGTTGTTTGGCTTGCGTATTACCACTCAAGATTTTTCACAAAGTCTTGTCACTCATCATCTTGTATTGAAATTAGTAATTAACAATTTTGTATCTGGTTGTGATGAAAGAAGGCATGTGTGATTTTCTTCCATGCAGAAATGAAACTGACCTTCTTAGAATAGTTTAAGAAGCCTACTGAAGTACAAAGGGAAAAAAATCAAAAGAGAAAGGATGGTAGTAGATGATGTAAACTTCTTTGAATATGTCCCATGCGTACTGAAGTACCAAAGAAAAAAATTCAAAAGTGCAAGGCAGTTGCAAGCAAAGTAAACAGCTGTTCCAAATAAGTGCCAAGTAAAAGATATCATCAAATCTGTGTGATCTGATTGTGAATTGACAGTTTACGCTAGAGGCGGCTTAACTCCAAAGGGTATTTTTATCAAACCATCAGGCCCTTGTAACAATAAGGAGAGTCCCTCAATTGTTGCAAGGGCCTAGATTGTCTTGATATATATGATTACAAACAGGCCCTTGCAATGTTGAACAGTGTCCTTAATGGACAGCAATTGGGATGTATCACTTTTTGTCAAACAACCAGGTCCTTGCAACAATAAGGAAAATAGGTTGCTTGTTGCAAGGGAAGATAATGATTGCTTGAAGTTTAGGATCCTTTATCAAACATCCAGTCCTTCACAACAATAAAGATAGGACCTTAATTGTTGCAAGGGACTGTAATCAATGGCTTTAGGATCCTGCAAGACTTGTCTTTCTTAACCAATCTGGACATGATCATGTTTTGTAACTAGTGACAAGATTGTTAATTTCCATCACAAAAATAGTATGGAGAGAGTGTGTCCATTTTTTGTCAGTTGTCTTCTCCTCTAATGGACAAGAAATCCTTAACTTGTCTATGCAGTGATAGTATTCTGTTATTGGTATTGTTTTCTCTCCCAATTGTTTATATAAACACTTTTGCTCTCAATACATATTTACTGAAAGCGCTCTGTCAACCCTGAGCCCTAATTACAGGACCATGGGCTAACAGTACCATATGTAATATTAAGATACTTTATAAAGCCATAAGCTACATCTCCAGACCCAGTGTCAAGAGCCACTTAAACACATGTATGTAATGTATTGAATACATAATAAACCTAACCCAAGTGTCAACCACAAGTTGACACGTGAATAGACAAGACTCACACGCTATTCACAAGTTGACGCTGGAACTGAGACTATATAAAACCCCCCTTCTTCCCTATAATCATCCTCCATCTTTTACTACAATCACAACAGAAAACCACATTTTACTTGACTCCTACTGAGAGGATTTTCAAGTATGTGGTTAGTTGTGTAGCTTGTTAAAGAGCATTCTTGAGCATTACGGGTTCCATTGCTAAACTACCAAGGTACTGATTTCTACAAGCCCAGGGCATTCATTGTGTCTAGAGATGAACCTTAAAGTAGCAAAGCTTCCTCCTTTTTAAGGAGTCTAAAGTAGCCTTCAGGATCTTTAGTTTACCAAAGTGTAAATCCTGCCCCTTGCAGTCTCACAAGGTTAGAGCATATTAGCTCTCTGTTCCCCCTATCTTTCCTTTCCCTTTCTCAAATCCTCTTCTTAGAGGTCAACTAGGTGTAGTCTTCACTTGGGTCTACCATGTGAAGACTGCATCTTCCTTGTCCTACTCTATTTTCTGTGTAGAGTACGCCTAACAGACATGTACTCCTCACAGGATCCCTGGAGTGGAGTGGGACAAATAATGCATTCCAAAAGTGTTGTTTTGACTGTACACCAAAATTTCACATCCCTGACACACAGCAAAGATGGATGGTGTAAGCCTTGTTAGCCCTGGCTTTCACCACCAAAGGGCATTTGGCTTTATCTCAACATCTGTCTCAGCTATTGAGGATTAGAAAGCAGGATGTTGTAGAGGGAAAGGGCTCACATATTTCTTATTATTGGAGATTTGAGATTAATAATTACAAAAGAGATTACATAATAAGGGAGTGTTTTTGGCCAAATTCCCCAGCCAGCATATTTGCCTCAGATGCAAAAATCCAAGGAGTCCTTGGATTTTGACTCCAAGGCAAGCTCCATCCAAGGATCCGATCTGAGGCAACGGCCAGGGCCAAAATTTGCCCCAGAGGTCCTCCTTGGGTGCCCTTTTCCTTGGGGGGCCATCTGAGGACTCCTCGGACATTTTTTGCCAAGGGAACTATGCAGGCAGTGCCTGGCTAATCTCACACTTGAAAATCAGCATGAGTGGTAAGTCCCTTGTACAAGCCTTGGGCCTTTGGCGCAAGAGACTTTGTTAACTTTGGTCACCCTATTAGAAACAACCAAAATGGCTGCTCATCTGTTGTAAGCCAAAACCGGCCCATTGATCTCTTGGTTTCCCATACCAACCCCCCAATTTCCCCTCCAGATCCACTTATTTGTAGACCATCAGGCCACAACCTCCACTCAGCCTAAGATTTTTCAGCCCTATACTCTATCCTCCATTGTTGCACATCCCCATCACATCACTTATCCCCACACATCCCACTTTTTTTTCTTGAAAAGTGGCCCAAATAAACCAAAACTGACACCACAAACAGGGAAAACCTGTGAATTGTAACATAGGATGGAATTCACCAGAGTGTGGCCCTGATACAAAATCTTTATGATTCTACATAGAGTGTGTATGAGTGTGTGGCCAATGATAAGTCCAGAGGTTAAGCAGTGTGGCCAATAATGACCCAAGCTTACCAAACTATCTCCTGTCTGGGGCTCAAATATGAAAGCTTGTTTTGGGGAGATCCCCGTGATGGTCTTTGAAGCCACCTGGTTTCTAGGTAACAAAGCACAGATCCCCACTATATCAGCACCAGCAAAACCCTGCCCAGACATTGTAAAATACACTGGTCTGAAGATTAAAGTGACAAATGTGTGGCAACAGTCCTACTTATAATGGTCCAGCCATAAAGATTCAAAGAATCACTCCAGGACTTGAATCAGTAAGGACCACTTGGATACTTTGTTGTTGACACTTCACAATTCACAAAGTAAACCTGAGGGAACAGGAGGACATGTTAGACTAAAGCTACAAAGCTTGTCAACAACAAGAACCCTAACTGACCTACAGAGGTTCAGAAACACACATGACAAGTTGAGAGAAATGAGAAAACACTTTCAAATGAGAACCGTGTAAAAGAAAAAGTAGGTATCAGATACATGTGTGCTCAGATTAAGATGAGAGCATGCAGTTGGTGTGATTTAGTAACACTCCAAAGATAATGCATTTCTCCGAGGTGAAAAATAATTGAATTTAATGCACAAAATGATTAATGATGCAGAATTAATGCAGAATTAATGCACTTTTAATCATTTTGTACATTAAATGTAATAATTTTTCACCTCAGAGAAATACATTATCTTTGCAGTGTAAGAACAGACAGTGATATGAATGACTGAAAACAAAATCACAATAGAGATAAAGGTAAAAAGAAGTTTATTAGTGATTTAAGAAGTAACACATATTGAAAAGCACAATTCAGTAGGAGCAAAAATTACTTACTGATTCTTTTTGATGAAGAAAATAAATCAAAGTGTGGGAGGAAGAAAACTAGATAAAAGAAACCAGAAAGAGAAATTTACATCCTTTGATTCAATACACATTCATCCCTTGCTACACAACACCACCCAAACCAGCATTCTACCTTCTGCAGAGCCGCATCCTAATCCTGTAAAGCCACAACTCAATCTGGTGATGGCTTTTGACTACAACCAAGAGAATCCTATCTTAACACCAGCTTGTTTGACTTGGCTTCCAATACTGGCAAGAGCAGTGTGCACGGTAAACATCATACATTACACCACAGGAATTATTATGTCCAAAACCCAATTGAGCAAAGTTGTGTTGTCCAAGTCTGCAACTTTTCTCAATCATGGGACTCATTCACAATAGGTTCACAGGTTTTCCTATATATGTGCACTGAACCCTCTCTGTTTGTTTAGATTTGTTCTGACCGCTCCTTTGGAGTAGCAATCATCTTTGCATTTGACTATCACCCGCTTGGTCAGAGTCTACACAATGAATATCTATCTGGCACAAAGGAATTCTATTACATTGTAGGTATCAAACACAATCAAGAATGGTGCATAAAGCTTGACTGGCAGTTTGGACAATACATATATGGTACTCAAAGTTTTGTATACTTTGCCATACATAGTTTGTTTTTTCTTTTTCACAACTACACATGATCAGGAAAAACTATGTTTCTGGCTCAGAAGTACATATTTTTGGGCTTCAAACACAAGATATACTTTTTCCGGGTTGTGTCTAGCTTCAAAAAAACAAAAAACAAAAACTATACACGGCAAAGTATACACAACTTTGAGTACCGTGATACTAGAAGCCAATTGGCGGGTTTGTTGAAACTTGATGCCCAGATTCATATCACACTTGTATGTGAAAGGGACTGAGTCCTGAAATATGGCTATGTACCAGTTGATGTTTGTGTGATATGCAGGTGCAGGGTCAAGGAGAGCTCAAGGGGAACCTGCAAACATAATGTGAACCTATT